TGGCTGGTGGGTGACCCACTAAGGAGGGACTCTCCTCCCTCGGTCCCAGGGCCTGGCCACTCTGAGAAGCCGGTGAGGAGGGCAGATCTGTCTTCGTGCGGCGCCATTTCAGACTGCGGCCGATAGAAGGAGGGCCTGCACACGGGGCACCTGCGACCCACAAGGAAGGGGCATGCGCCAAGGACCCCAGCCCTTCGGGGGCCTGGGGCCGTGCCGCTCACGTGTCGAATTCTTCCATGTCGCACATCCGAACCAGACTTCGTCCTGCTTGACCGCTGTGAGTCCCAGCTAAAGAACTCCGCAGCGTCTCTCCAGCAGCAAAATCTAGGCATCTTCTGAATTATGCACATCCAAAGGTTTCAGGGCCAAGGAGAACATTCATGATGTTTAACCTTGCTGAAGCTTGGGCAGGTTCCCTTCATCACCTTCTAGGCCCTGTGACTTTCACCGTCTAATTTTTCTTTGTTCATGGAAGCTCCCTGGATTTCAAACAGGGAATGGTTCTGTAGAGGATGCCGAGTCTGCTCTCGAGCACCGCATGGCTGCAGGAACTCCGAAAGATGGCCTGCCAGGAACCTGCATCAGAATGAGGCCCCTGGGCACCCCTTCTCGATCACACCGTTCTTTGACACCCGCAGCCCGGCCCTTTGGGCTGGCCACCCTGCCCAGTTCTCCTTCCCTGCGCTGTGGTTTGGTTTGGGCTTGCACCAGCTCCCCTTCTAAAGAGGAGTCAGCATGTGCCGGAAAACACTGTGGCTGCCTTCCAGAACATTTTCTGTCACTGGTGAGGTCAGCTCGGTAGGATCCTGCCCAGTTCTAGGAAGTGTTCATCAGTTGCTGCTGCAGCTGCGTGCGGAGATCGAGGTCCCTGCAGCTGGAAACCTTGCTCGGTTTACCAGCATCGCAACTCTCCATGGGGTTCCTTCAGCAAGCCTGGAAGAACAGGCCTCATGCTGTGCCCAGTTCTTGCTGTGCGAAGTCGGCTTCTCCAATTGTGAGTATTCAGAAATGGTTATTGGGAACGGCACGCACAGCCTGCCAGCCCTCCGCTGGAGAATGTCTGGATTTCGTCTTTATGTCATGCGAAGCCAGCTAGTATTCCGTCTGGTTTAGGCAAACTCTTCCGAAGGCATGTTTCTGTTCTGTGTTGCTTCTTGCCCGGAAGGCCGTCTCAGCCAGGCGTTGTCACTTGTCTCCCTCCACGCCCAAGTCAAGGTGCAGAACCTGACTGCGGAAGGAGGCTGACAGGTGCTGAGTGACGAGGAGGCACCGGCTTGTCGGCCAGAGAGAAGCATTTGGCAGAAGTTAACTGAGGTGGCCTTGGGGGGCCAGGTAGCTGATGACGAAGGCACGGAGGAGCGCGAAGGCCGAGCAGCGTTTATCCGGGCTGCCATGACGCCATTGGCAGGGCTGCTTGGCTGGGTCACGCGCCACGCGCACCTGCGGGGCCGGCTTCCTCCCTTGGCCCCGTCAAGGTGTCTTGGGACGCCGCCTGAGGCTGGCCTGTTGGCCCTCTTCTCCCCACACTGAGTCAGAGCAGCCAGGCATGTGGGGGGCGCTGCTGAGGGCCGCGCAGCCGCTGCCTCCTGAGGATTCGCCCGGCTGGGACCTGGTGCTCGAGTGGCATAGCGTGGTTCCAGTGGGACAGTGTGGAACGTGAGACGGGTCCCGGCGAAAGTTTACCAGCTACGCTCCGCATGCATCCTGCATGTCCTGGCGAGTAGCTCTGAGGCGTGGCAGCGGTAGAAAGCAATGCTATGTATCTGCAGATCTGCTGTAGGGAATCCCTCGAGGTATCAGCTTTTCCTGGGTGGCGAGGAGAAGCTGAGTGCTTTCGGGCGAGGGGCGGCCCCTGCCGTGGGTGGGCGTTGGGGCAACGGTGAGAGCTGGGGCAAAGCCTGAGAGCAGCTTGGCACAAAAGCTCTGCAGATGGAGGCAGCCCGCTGAAGCAGCCTGCCAGTTTTCCGTGGCTCGCTGTGCCACAGTCCTCAGCAGCGCAAAAGCGTGGACACGTTTTATTGCCCTGTCTTGGGCGGCGATCAGCCTGAGTCACAAACGGGAGCCCTTCCTCCGGCTCCCTGCAGCCTCCTTCCACCCCCGCCCCCCCAAGTGCAGAGAAGTGCGTTCCTGTGCTTTTCAGCCAGGGCTGTGAGCCCCAGAGGGGGTCCGTGAGGTTTCTCCACCCCTCTCCTCGCTTTAGCAGATGACTCACACCCACCGGGAAGCTGCAGCTGGGCTGGTATTTTATCGAAATCCCTCGCAGCTCTGCCTCCTCCCTCCGTGCCTGCGTGCCGCTAATTGCTGCTCGCCTCTGCCGAGCATTTCCCTGGGGAGGCTCCTCGGGGCGCCCGGTGGCACTCTCGGTCTGTCACTGGAGGGCATGTGCAGCACAGCGCGGTGCCCGTGGTCTATTCTTCTGGAGGGGTGGGAGGCACGGGTACCCACAGAGCCACCGGTGCCGTCGTGCCCTTTAAGAGCCCTTGAGCTCCCGGCAGAGGAGGCGAAAGCTTGCAAGCATCCCGCCACTGGGGTGCGTGCTTTGGGCTGCAACCTCCATCTTTCCTGCACTGGGAGAGAGCAGAGCCGGCCCAGATCCCATCCGGGTGGAAGGGCCTGGGGACGCTGTGGAGGAGAGGCAAGGCCGGCGTGGCGCGGGGGTCTGCCTCCGGGGGGTGGGCGTGGGATCCGCTTCTGCCGAGCTGGATGGCGTGTGCAAGCAGCTGCGGGGTCAGGGCACCACTGGCATCGCTCTGGCCCGCTGCCGCGAAGAGGCGCACTCCCCCGCAGGGCGTTCCTCTCTCGGGTGGACCATCAGCCGGGAGCAGGCGCATCCCAGACTCAAGCCCAGCAGGTGTTTAAGGTGACCCTTGAGGCTGTGTCGTCTCGAAGGCGTGTGGCTTGGCGTAGGCCAGGCCGAGCAACCGCTGCTGAAGCAGCCCACCCGGTGGGCCGGGACGCAAGGCCATTTTCCCGCGTTCGAGCAGGGAGACTCCTCGGATTGTGCCCCAGTCTCTCCCTCATCCTCACAGCAGAACCTCTGCCGTGCCGGCGTGTCCGGGCCCGTCCAGTGGCTCCGTGCGCAGGTCCGGAGCAGGGTGCAGCTCTCTGCGGTCCAGGCCTGAATCAGAGGGACGGCCAGCGCTGGGGCTTTTCTCCAGGCTTCTGCCGTCCAGCCTCAGAGGCTCCTGATTTTTGCCCATTGGCCAGCATGAAGTCAGCCGGCCTGGGGCGGACGAGAGGAAACTTTTCTCGCACAGGAGCCAGGGAAATCAGGAAGACCTGTGCAAGCGCATAGCAGGGAAGCCTTTCCAAGCATTGCCTCAACGGTTCTGGCTTGTCCAAGTTCATTGTGCATCAGACTAAGAGTGTAATTACGCCTTGAACAAAATGTGCTTTGTTCTTGCCTGATGTCACCAAGGCTGGCATCGAATGAGACGGGTGGCAGGGAGAGTCCTGGCTTCCTTCAGAAACTGCCTCTAGGACATGCGCCTCGTTTTATTGTGCTGTGCGCACACAGCAAGCGCAAGAGGCTTATGAACAGGCATGTGAAGGCTGTGAGGCAGCATTGCGCCTTCTGGAAAACAGCCGGGAAGATGCACGCCAAAGTTTGGGGTTTTGGGAAGCCATAAGGAATCCCTCGTTTGAGCAGGAATGGTGGGTCTCGGGGGCGACTCCTTGGCACGCTGTCTTCAGAAGCCGGGTAAATCTCACGGGTTCTGTGTCAGAAGATTCGGGGCTTAAACTTGGAGACATGTGGGTCGTGGTTTGTGCACCGTAGCAACCAACTGTGGGCTGGTAATGCGCGGGCCGCAGGCGGGAGGTGAGAGCGACGGGATGCCTGGCACACCGGCCCTGCAGCTGACACGGTTGGCCACCACATCTGGCTTTCCGTAGCCAAGGTGCTTCACAGCAGAGTTAAAGCCGCTTATCCAAATGGCGTGGCTGTAGACCTGGTGCCGCCTCGCAAGTTCTGCCTCTCCTAAAAGAGGCGAACGGCCCCGACGGCGCAGGGTCCTGGGTCACAGGAAGGGGGCCGGGTGCGGGGGGCCGGTCTCGTGGAGGCCGCCGTGGGGCTGCGCGAGACAAGGGGCCTTTCTTCGCTGACCCAGCTTTATTCGGCGCTTTCGCTTTGCTGTCCCCATTAATTAACAAGTACCGTATTTTCCCTCAATAGCTGTCCCTGTTGGTAGAGACCTAATCATGGCACAGTTGCCAAAAGCGGAGGGGAGGCACAGGACGGGCATTTTGCAAATTGCTCGGTGGCTCTGTAAACAGAAGGCGGGAGGGCAAGCCGGCCGTTGAGCGGAGTAGCCAGCCTTCGTCAGCTAGAAAACACCTCAGCGCTTCAGAAGGGGCGCTTGCTCTTGCAGGAAGCCGAGGGCATCCGTCAGTGCGCTTGGCACAAGTGCCGGTTTCTTAAAACAGTTTGGCCAGGATGCGCTTGCATTCTTCTCCCTTTTTAAGAGCTCGGCCTTGCATATTTTCTGGGCGAGCCCTGTAATCTTTCTGTGAATTCTTCAGGCTGGGCCTCGGGCGGTGATGGAGGCGCTCAGGAGAGCTTCCGCTGAGAACATGGGGCATATTTGGGGTGGCGGCTTCGGCCTGGCGTCCTGTTGCCGCAGCACACCTCTTGCGGTTGCCCTTTCTGGAAAGGCTGGGCCGTCAGGGAAGCGTGCTCACGGCCCTTCCGTCGGGGCCGCCCTGCTTGGAATCGCTCAGGAGGCGTCGGGGCAGCCGGCCTGGCTTCGGGCCGGCGAAAGCCGCGCTTGTGAATGAGCATTCCCCATATTTCCAGTCCTCCGGTGACAGGTGGCCGAGGTGAGCTTAGGACACAGGGAGCCGCGGGATAATCACAGGTGGAGGCAGTGCCCCATAAAAGCCGGCCACGCCAGTGGCCCCAGAGAGAGGTGAGAGCGCCAGGCTCCATCCAGGTCTGCTGGCTGCTTCTTGGCCGGCAAGGGGGATAACGAGCCCCCCCGCTCCCCCCCCATGCATTGCAGAACCAGCTGAGGCAGTGCTTCGGCAAGCCAGCCGCAGAGGCCCAGGACACCGACACGCTCGTGCAGGAGGCCGACAGCCAGTATGGCACCTGGAGTGACCAGCGGCACAGCGGGGACAGGTGAGCCTCAGGGCCGTGGCTGCGGGGGGGGGGGGGGTTTCCCCGGGGGGGGGGGCGTGAAGGGCCAGCTCCGCCCCAGCCGCTTCGCCGGAGGCCACAGCGCTTCCCTGCCCCGTGGGGGTCCTCGCACCGGCCCCTGCCTGGAGGGGGCGGAGGCGCAACGTCTTCGCCTGCCCCCCGGCTTGCCTGGCCCCGCCAGAAGCCCACAGCGTCCGCCAGAGCAGCCCTTCTGGGGGCCTTCCTGGGGAACCGCGGCTCACAGTGCCCCCTGCCGCTCTGCAGCCCCCCCCCCCCCCGTGCCGGCTCCTCCAAAAAGAGCCCCTGGGCTGAGTGAAGAGCCCCGCGTGCCGGGGGCCGATCCGCTGGAGGGACACGTCTCTAGGAAGGCCCGGAGGAGCTGGTGGGCCCTTTGGGGCTGGGGCTGGGGCTCCCCTGGCGGCGAGGAGCGCTGGACTGCGGCTTCTCCTCTGCTCCGGCCGACAGCAGGGCTTTCCCGGGAATGTCTGCCGTTCTCTGCACGGGCGTTCCGGGACAGCCACGCTTCCGGGCTTGCCGCTTGCCCGCCTGCCTCCCAAGCCAGGGCCAGAGGGAGCCGAGTGCCGGCTCCTCCTCTGCGCCGCACCCCGGATACGCTCCTCCCCTGCGCTCGGGTGCTGGGGCGCCCAAAGCAGCTCAAGGACGCGTTGCGAGGGGCACATGCCGCCTCAGTGGCGCCCCCTCGCACGAATCCTGAGCACAGGCATCCCTGAAGAAGAGCGCGTAACTCGGGGCGAGCCCGGGTGGCTGGTCTGGCTGGCCCCGTGCCAGGCGGGGCCGTCTCGGGGCTGGGTGCCGCTCACCGGGCCAAGGAGCCCCCTGGGCCCCTCTGCTCCCCGGCGGCCTCCCTGCTCACCCCTCTCCCCCTCCCTGGTTGCTCCCCCAGCCTCGTGCCCGAGTCTCCTTCCCCGGAGAGCAGCGCGGCCCCGACACGCCGGCAGCCCTCCAGCAGCCGCCTCTCCTCGTTCTCCTCGCAAACTGACCCCGCCTCTGGCGCCGATCAGCAGGACTCCTCCCGGGACCGGCGGAGCACCAGCCTGGACTGCTCGAGCACGGACGCCGACTCGGCAGACGGCATTCACGCCCCAGCGGGGACCTCCGTGGACTTCTCCTTCCTAGACGTAAGTTGCCCGGCAGGCCCTCTCCCGGCCCTTCGCGTGCGGCCTCAGAGGCCCGTGCCTGGATAACGGGGGCGCTTTCCCTTTCAAGCAAACGTCTGTGCTGGACTCCAGCGCCTTGAAGACCCGGGTGCAGCTCAGCAAGAGGCGGCGCCAGCACCGCGCCCCCATCTCCCACGCGCTCCGGCGGAGCTCCGGCCCTGACGACAAGCAGCGCCTGCACGTGACGGAGGAGGAGGCGGCGGACAGCGCCTGGATGTTCAGGGACTCCACAGGTAGCGAGGCCGGGCCGGCCGTGGGAGCGCAGGAACCCTGCCCGGGCCAGGGAGGGAGCCCCGCCACGCACACGGTCCCCGGTTGGTTCCGGCCCCAGCATGCGGGAAGAACCGGGGGGCAGCTCCCCGGGGGCGTGGGGCTGAGTACAGCCCTGGGCGATCTCGCTGCCCGGCTGCGGGGACCGGAGCTTGCGCGGCTTGCCTTGAGCAGGGGGTTCGGTGCTACCCACCAGTGCTGGCTGTGGACTTTGGGGCCCCCCCGGTCTCCCTGCCTTGGGAGGAGTTGGGAGCGGGCGTGTGGGCCGAGGGATCGCTCCCTTTGCCCCCGCGCCTGACCATCCCATTTCCTCGGAGTAAGCGCGGCGCTTGAATGCTTCGTTGCTCTGCTTCTGAAGGAGGACAGTTGTCCAACAGAGAGGAGTCCGACGAGGAGGACGGCTCCCGCTCCACGGAGAGGTTGCCCGCCTGCCAGCTGCAGAGGCACCCGGTGTTCCCAGGGATGGACCACTCGGCCCTCAAGGTCAGTGCGGGTTCCCCGCGGCTCATTGCCAGGGGCCACCGGATCTCCCGGCGACGGGTCCCCTTCCGGGGCCTGTCCTGCGGAGCGCCCGCTTTAACGGTGGGAATTCCGACCTTTCAGGCCCATCTCAGGAAGAGGCAGGACCTCGAGGGGACGGCCGCTGGCCTCCCCACTCCGCTGCCCAAGTCCCCGAAGTCCCCGGTCCCAGCTGGAGGGCTCTCCGGGGGACGAGTGCCGCTCCCCGGCACCGAGAAGGAGGAGAGGTGAGTTGGCGGGAAGGCCGCTGCGCTGGGGGCAGCCAGTCCCCCCCCACCCCGGTCCTGCCTTTCACCCGCCCTGAAGACACCGCTGCTTAGGTCTCTCTGGTCCCTCCCGCTTCCCAGCGCTCGCGCCAGGCCCTCCCCTCGAGCCCCCGAGACTCCAGCGCCTTGAGCGCGTCGCCTGCGCCGTTCAGATCCTGCCTCCGTGGCCGCAAGGGCTCAAAAAAGTATCATGGAAAAGCTGAATTCCGCCACAGAGCAGGCCGATTATGCCATTACTGACACCGTCATTGCACTGCGTGACTGTCCCGCCGCTCCTGCTCTTGCGAGGAACACGAGGCGGCCGACTTGGTCCTCCTCCGCCTTGTTTGTCCTCACAACAGTTCTGCAAGGCGGGCCAGGCTGGGAGGGAGCGACCGGGCCAGAGGGAGCTGCCTGGCCGAGGGGGGCCAGAAGTGGGACGGCCCCGGCCCCGGCCCCGGTCCCGGTCCCGTCGTGCGCCCGCTGCCACACAGTCACCCAGAGGAGCCCCTTCCGTGCCGCTGCTGCAGAATCAGGGCAGCGCCTGCTGCGGGGAGTGTCTCCTGGCCTCCCGTGCCGGGCTGCCGCGTGGCACATGCGCTTCCGCGCCCTCGCCCGTGCTCAGTGTCACTGGCTGCAGCTGGACGGGGGACGGGGCGGATGCCTCATGAAAACACTGCCTTTCTCGGGCACATCCGGGGGTGGGTGCCTGCCTCCCCGAGGCGCCTCTGGCAGTGGCGGAGCACACCGAGCCCCAGCACAGCACCCCGGCCCGCATCCTGCTGTGCCTGCCTGGACTGAGGCGAGAGCATCGCCACTCCCAGGGCAACCAGCGGGCGTCCCTCCCCTCCCCTCCCCTCCCTCCCCGCCCTGCCCTGCCCACCCCCTTCGGCCCGGTCCCCCTTCCTTTAAATGGCTGAACAGGAGGGGAACTTTTCCCAAGGGGGAGCGCGCCCCTCCCCACCTCAGTTCCCCGCGGATGCATTTCCCGGGCGGTCGCTTGCACGGAAGGCGTCCTCCCGTGAGACCAAGGGCTGGTCAAGCGGACCCGCTTCCTTGCAGGTCAGAAGAGCCGTCCCCACAGTGGCTGAAGGAGCTGAAGTCCAGGAAGCGGCAGAGCCAATACGAGAACCAAGTGTGACGACCCAAGGTCTGAGCGGGCGGCGGGTGGTAGCCGCCCGTGGCCGGTGTGCAGAGCGGGCGGCGTCTCGTGTGGCGCGCGACCCCCGGCAAGGGTGGGGGGCTGGGGAGCACCCCGAGCATTGGCCACGAGCCTGGGCCAGGCTGCGGCACTCCCCGACCACTCTGCGCGGGGGCCCGTGCCGCTCTCCCATGCCTGTGCCGGGCTCGCCTGACTCGCGCCTGCTTTTCCGGAATGTCGTGCTCACTTTGCCGCTTGGCTAGGAATGCGCATGGCGGGTTTTCAGTGTGCGCAAATGTTACATTTAAGCAAGTTCACGGCTTTGCTTGGAGAACCATTTCATGGGCGTGCCTCGTTGCCGTGCCTTACGATATTTGTGGCCTGGTAGCCACCACCTCTCTTACTCGGATTTTGAGGGGAAACAACGGAAGGGGCTCCAGGAGTTCCTTCTGGCAGGCCTGAGAAGCCGCTCCCAGCGATGCCCGTGCTGCTCAGGGACCGTCTCTTGGAAAAACGCCCGGTGCTGCTTTCCAGACGCCTGATTTGTCCTAGGATTGTGCTTGTTCATTATGCTAGTAATTGACTTCACAAATAATTCATTTCTCAAAGTGGGGAAAGTAAGAACTTGGCCCCTCCTGATCGCTGTGCTGGTAGAGACGCCGGAGGTGGATGCGGCCTTCCCGTGCCGTGGGGGCTTCCTGGAGCCCTGTGGCTGGCCAGTGTAGGGGCAAGCAGGAGCAGGAAGTGAGGCGGGGGGCCAGACCCTGCACCCCTGCTTCGGCCAGCCCTCCAGGTGCCGCCGAGTGGCGCCACCAAGAATCCCCCAGGCTGCTGGGAACTCTGGAAGCCGAGGGAGGCCGGGCTGCCCTCACGCCGCCAGCCCAGAAGCCGCTCCGCAGGGGAAGGCATCCCCTGGGACATTCCGCACACACAGCGGCAGGGCCTCCTTAGCGCAGAAGTCCGGCTGCGGGACGCGCACGCCCCTCCTCCAGCCCGTGGGCCTCAGCTCGGCGATCTCCCCCCTTCCGCTTTCAGACGGAGGCCGTGCTGGCTCGGAAGATGGTGTTGGACCTGCCGCCAGAAGAAGCCTTAACTCCCCCACAGCCCCACTCCCCGCTGCCGCCGCCTCCTGCCTCAGCTGCTCCGTGCACGGTGCCTTCCAGCCGCACTCCGCGCCAGACGCGGCGCTGGAGGAGAAGAGGGCCGTTCGTGGATCCCCGGGAACAAGCCCCGCCATCGGCTGGCCCCCGCAGGTGCCACCCGTGCCCGCGGGACCCTCGCCTCGCGGAGCCCGCCTGCCGCACGGCACGGCACGGCACGGCACGGCGGGTGCCCCTGGAACGGTGGCCTCCGGCTCCGGCGCGGGGCGGGAACCCTGCTCGGCGCTCGCTGCGAACAGAGAGGGACCTCGGAGGGAAGGGGCCGGTGTGCGAGAGCGGACCGCCACTGTCTGAGGAGAGGGTGCGAGAGAGACGGGGAAAGCAGGTGATGTTTACTGCCATATTGCAAAGGAAAATGGACTGATTATTTTAAGTATATTTTTGATCAGCTGAGATTTTCTTGGTGGATCTGCTACTTGGCCAGAACAATGTGTTGTCTGTCTGTCTGTCTGTCTGTCTGTCTGTCTGTCTGTCTGTCTGTCTGTCTGTCTTTTTCTTTCTTTCTTTCTTTCTTTCTTTCTTTCTTTCTTTCTTTCTTTCTTTCTGGTTTCTTCTTAAGGAGTGAAGGAGGTTTATTGTGAATGGCGGATGTGTGCATGTGTTTTGTCAGCACATGGAGTGGTTGTTCCATAATGTGTGTCCCGCTGCCGGAAGGGGTCAAGCAATAAAGTCAGACAGCCCTCTTCAAAATAGCGGTAAATCGTTGAAGAGGCTGGGTTTTTCCTGGGAGGAGTGGGAAGGAAGGCCGGGAAGGGGGAGTCTGATCTTGCCGGCACCAGGATGGCATAGGCACCTTTGGGTCGTCTTGCTGGGTGTTTTATTCGTCTTTCTGTACATCCTGGAGACTGGGGCGCTCATTCAGTTCATATTCAGCTGATGGTTTCCAGACTTCCAGCAGTGGAAATGCAGATTTTTCCACAAATGTTCAACTGGTCAGTATCCATAAGCGTGTCGAGGTTCTTTCTGTGGTCTCTGAGTGTCACTGGAAACAAAGAAGCTTTTCACCTGGCGTGGCCTGCGGAGGATCCCCGGGCTCCTTGTTCTCCCGAATGCGCCCATGGGTGGTCTAAGTGTGTCGCATTCTCGTGAAGTTGTCTCTCCCCCCCTTTTGCTTCCTCCCTCCCTCCCTCCCTCCAAAAACGCCTTTTTCTTTCGTTGCATCCCTGCTTTTGGCCACCCTGGAAACACCTTTATCAAAACAAAGAACAAGGGCTGCGTGGATTCCTTACCTCTCTGTCGTTCTGTTTGGAGTCTATAATGTTTTTCTTTTCTTTATGGCGCTTCCCAGCCCTTCCTCTCTGTGTCAGGATCCCTCTTTGGACGGAGGCTTATATTCAGAATATTTCATTATTTACCCTTGTTTCGTAAGTGCCCTTCTCAGATACGCTCTGTTTTCGGAGGTTTGAAGCTCACGTGCGACCAAGCATGGGCCTGGTCTCCTGGCACCCACCCCTGCGCTGGGGTGGGTCGGGGTGGCGTGGGGGGCCGCCCTCCGTGGCTGGGCCCACCCTGCGCTTCTGCCAGTGCTGTGCCACGGGAGGTGCGCGCCTCCGGTCCAGCTGCTGGACCCCCCAGGAGCGCGCACAAGGCCCCCGGTGCACGTGCTGGAGCCAGGCGGCTCGTGGGGGCAGGGCCGGGGGGGCCCTGCAGAGGCGCCCTTCCTCTCTGCGGCCAAGACCTGCCCTGCCGCTCCGCTCCGCTGCTGGGCTTCTGCCCCCGCCCCACTTGCTCCTCAAACAACAGGACTGTGCGCTGGCGCCGTGGGCCTTGCCGCTGCGGCCGGCTTGCATTGCCCAGGGGGACCTCGGGCCCCCTCCCTGCCCCCCACCGCTCCCTGGCCACGGGGCGACCGGCCACTGCCGCTGCCCACAGTCTTAAAGCGGGGCCGCCGGCTCCCTCCCGCTCAGGCACGGGCGCTCACGCCAGGCCGGGCCCGCTCTGCCCCGGGGCCTCGGGCGGGCGGCGCGCGGCTTGTTTTCATGCCTTAATGGTGTTGGCTCGGCCGTTCCGGCTTCAGCTCCCCTCGGCCTGCGAATGTGAGCAGCTTTCCCGCATTCCGCTGTGTGTGCACGTCTGCGTGTCCGTGCGCACGTGCAGGAGGCCCTCTTGACCGGGGAGGGGAGGGGGCAGGTGGCCGGCACAGCCGGGCCGACCGCGTCTCCGACCGCTCGCTGGCGGGAGGCGTGCTGCGTGGGGCAGCGGAGCCGAGATGCCCGGGGAGCTCGCCCGGCATGCCTGGAGGGGAGTCGGGGACGCGGGCAAGGCCCTCCGGGGCTGCTCACTCAGATCCCTTTTATGCTTGGGCGAGGCACTGAAATTCTGTATTTTGGAAGTTTTTAATACTAAGAAATGTTTGAACCTAACTATGTCTGATTAAAAAATAGTCCGGAACGATATTTTGTGGGCGTCCGTCTTCCTTTGCTTTTAAATCGCTTGGCTCTCGGCCTCGGCACCCTGGCGTGGTTCTCCTGCGCAGGAACGGTGGACACGCGTGGCGGCTCCCACGACCTTTGGTGGGTCGCCTGGAAGCAGTGAGACCCCAGGCAGAACACAGGCCTCCGGCGTCCGCTCGTGGCCTTTCTCCCAGCCTGCCGCCCAGGTAGACAGAGAAGGTGTCCAGCAGACACACCAGAAAGCCTTTTCTGCTGCCAGGGTGGCCCCTCCGGCACAGTGTCCTGTCTCGGCCACGTGCCACGGCATCCCCGAAGCAGCGTCGCAGTCCGTCCTGCAGCAGTAGGACCACGAGAGACGCAAGAGCGCGATCCACCCCCCCCCCCGAGGGGTGGCCGCCTGATGGGGGGCACTGCTCCCCCACGGAAGGATCCCCGCAGCTTCGTTGGCACGCGATCGAATTCCCAGCAGAACTGCCGGCTGCCTCGTTCGCTTGGGCGAATCGTCCCGGGAGGCAGGGCCTGGAATCCCCAGCCCTGTGGCAGTGCCAACGAGCGCCCCCCTGGTGGGTCGTCTTCGTCCGGACAGGCGGCTCCGGCGTGGAGTGATCCAAAGCGCTCTCCACGGGCCACACAGGTGCGATCCGGGAGACTCCTCAGAAGCCCGTCTGCTTTAAGCGGCAAAATGGCAATTCTGGTGTGTTTTCTTGGAGCGCAGCAACGGCAGCAGCGCCTCGATCGGACGGCAGGCCTCCGGTTCAGGCCCTTCCCAGAGAGAGGCCCCGGCCAGCGTGAGCCAGGCGCTCTGGCCCGGAAAGTGCTGCCGAGGGGTTTTGCTGCCGCGATGGCTTTGGTTTCAGGTCAAATACTTGGAAAAGCTGCTGACCCAGAACTTCTGCGAGGTTCTGGCAAGGAGCAGAGCCAACACGCGGATGGCCCGGCTCGCTGGCCGCTAATCTTCTCTCCACTGGCGGCCAAGGGCGCTCAGCACAATGGGCCCGTATTGTGGAGCCGCGTCGCAGCGCGAAGCGGTGGGTGGGTCTGGGGGAGGCTTCTGCCGCTGCTGCCTCAGCACCCCGGAAAGCCTCTGCTGGACGCGGCGGCCGGCCGATAAATAGCGGGCCCGCACCCTCGGCCCTGCGGCGCTTGGAGCGGCACTGGGGAGAGGAGGTACGGGCGTCCCTGGCGGGGAGGGACCCTTCCCCTGCGCAGCTGCCTCTGAGTGAGCGGGTGGACAGGGGGCCGGGGCGGCTTTGGCACTTGCGGCCTGCGCTCAGCACCACAAAGGGAGAAGCGGGAAAACGCGGGAGGAGGGCGAGAGCTCGGCCTCTAGCACGCTGTTCAGGAGAGGACAGGAAACTTGCCCCGATCCGTCAGGCGGGGGGACCCCAGGACTCAGGGCTGAAAATAAGGCTGCGCCGTGGGGCAGGGCGGAGGGGAAGGCTGCGTGAGAGCCGAGGGAGGGCTGCCGCTGGGTCGCTCGGCCCGGTCACTGGGGTGTCTTGCGGCCGGGATGCAATCCGCACGTACCGCTCCGAGCACCTTCAGCCGGGATGGAGCTGGCCCATGCCTGGAGGAGCTTCGGCCCCAAATGCCTGATCCCCGAAGCCACCGTTGCGCCCGTCTTCCAACCCCTAGCGGGGCTTCGTGTCAGCGGGGGCTGTCGCCTCCCTTGGCCAGCCCTCCATGTTCCGCGTCCCCGACCCCGCACAGCCGGAGGCTGGCCCACGCCACCGAAGGCACCTGCCCGGCCGCCCGGAGGCCTCGGGCGCCTGCACGGCGACGGGGCCCACGCCTCCGGCAGGGCGGGCTTCGCTCACCGCCTCTCGCCTCGGGGGCGCTGCAGGCACCATGACGGAGCAGCACAGCCCGGCTGAGGAGATGGCCACGGCGGAGAGTCCGGAGGAGGCCGGCCCCAGTTACAAGGTAAGGGGCAGCAGCCGGCCGCCTGACCTGTCCTCCGGCACTGCCCCGCGCACCGCGGGCTCGGCCGAACCCCCAAGCCCCGGGAGGGTTTTCTGCACGGCGCACGGCCCTTTCTGCGGGTCGCACCGCACTGTGCTGCCGAGTTGTCTCCGGCTTAGGGCTGCCCCCGAGCTGTCCCGGCCTCGGCAGCCCTGCTCATCTCATCTCTTACGGCCCAAGGCGCGGCTTCCTTCCGGAAAGCGGCCCCCTCCCCTTGGGTCTGCCCTCCTGCGCCCGCCCACTTTCCGTGGCTCGTCCCGGTTCTCCTCCAACCGGCAGTTCCACGGGTGGCCAGGAGAGGGCGCCCCGATCCCCCGATTCCTTCTGCAAGGCGCTTTTGGCTCCCGAGTCGTGCGCCTTCTCCCCACATCTCCCCCGCCGCGTGGGTCTGAGCACGTGGGTGCTGTTGCGCCCGCTCGTTGCCACTCTTCCACTGCAAGCCTTCAGCCGCCGCTCACAGGAGCAGCCGCCTCTCCCTGCCGAGGAGGCCGTCAGCAGCGTGCCACCCGGGCCCTGGAGGCAAGCTCTCCCTCCCGGTCCCACAGAAGGCTGCCCTCGCCCCGCTTGCTCCAGCCCCTCTCCCGAGTTCCCAAATCCAGCACAGCGCTGCCAGAGTTTCTCCCCAAGGCCAGCAGAGTCCTTTGAGCAGCCAGCCTCTGGAATCCGTTGCAGAAGACACGGCGTTCCTCCGCTCCTCGCCCCGGGTTCGGTCTTGCGCGTGCGCACGTGGAATGCGGGGCCTTTGGGGTGGCAGGTGGGCCTTCCGGGCCAGGAGGGGGCAGGGCTGTGGCTCAGCGCTGCGGCCCGGCCAACCTGCGGTGGGGATTTCCCAGGCCTCGGGGGCTTCGATCCTGGGGTCACCTGTGGTTTGCTGGGGCCGCCACCTCCTCTCCTGGACGGCCCTTCTGCCCCTGGGGGCTGCCTATCTCCAGGCCAGTGCTGGGGGTCCCCTTTGTCTTCCTAGGTCACCTTGTATGAGATGGAGAATTTCCAGGGCCGGAAGTGTGAGCTGACGGACGAGAGCCCCAACGTGACGGAGAAGGAGCTGCAGAAAGTGGGGTCCCTCAAGGTGGAGGCTGGCCCGTGAGTGCCGAGCGCGGGTCGGGGCTGGCCCTCCCGGAGCCTGGCAGTGCGGGGAAAAGGCGACCACACGCTGCGTCTCTTTGCTTGCGATAGACTAGAACTCTGGCACAGCAACAGGGTGGAACAGAGACAGCTGTGTTTGCTTCATCTGGTTTTTATAAAATTCTCCTGTATTTCTAAAATAAAATGCTTGATTTGATTTTCAAAAGTGCAAAAGAAACTGGCGAGAGAGGTTATGACTCCCTTTCCAGCAGACAAAGGAAACACCACCGTATTGATGGTGGCACCTCCTAAGTGTTGCGATCCTTCCAGTAACCTTCTAAAATACGTGAGGATATGTAAGGTCATTCTGATGCGATAAGAGTGCTTGCGCTTGTAGCCAATTAGTTAGCTGCTTTCTTCTCGCTTCCTGGCATGCCCCCTGGCCAAGCTGCCGTGAAGCTCATCCTTTTATGGCCTCTGCAATTTCAGCATAGCTTCCTAAATCGTGAGGAGTGGAAGCTTGCTTGTTGTTCAAGAACTGAGCGCCGGTGCTCTCACGGCCACGTTTCCGCTAGCACGGGGTTCCAGCACCGGCAGAGTCCTGCGTTCGAGTCCCTTTCGTGCGTCACCCAGGCCGGGACCTCCGCTTTCTCTCCCGCAGGTGGCTCGGCTTCGAGCGCCAGGCGTTCAGTGGGGAGCAGTTTGTGCTGGAAAAGGGGGACTACCCTCGGTGGGACTCGTGGTCCAGCAGCCACCGCAGCGACAGCCTCCTGTCGGTGCGCCCCCTACTGATCGTAAGTAACCTGAAGCGCTGCTGCGAGGCCCTCCTGTGGGTTCACAGACGGCTGTGCTTGGGAAAGCCGCCGGCGCTCAGCCTCAAAGAGCATCTGAAAAGGGGGCCGTGCTTGCATTTGTCTTGGGAGAGGGGTGGGCAGGGTGTTCATGGATGGAAAGGGGATGCGTGTAAAAGCATCTTTAAAAACCCATTTATTTATTTCTTAAAGGGTTTTCTATCCCGTCCCCTACAGAATGTCTCAGGACGGCTTACAGTAAAAAGTAGCATAAAGCAAGTCCCGCAGCATCCGACCATCAATGTCCGAAAACCCCAGTTCAAATCAATTGAACAGTAAAATAGCAGGACAATAAAAAGGGCTTTGTCTGATGCCGAAA